ACTATTCCAAGATTGGTTAATGATGTCACGTATTCTCTGGAATATCAAAATATAAAAGTGACAGATGGGTGGTTTTACCACCCTTTACCTGTTATATATCTACTGTAAAGTCGATGGTCTATTTCAAATTTCAATAGTTTTCATTAAATTCAAGTTAAAGTTTTTACTCTCTCTCTCTCTCCACATATTTTTAAAAATCACTACTTTGTTTTATAAAAATAATATTATTTATTTAACTATTTCATTAAAATAATATCTTAACTCACACATTAAAACATTTATACTCACACATACATAATAATAAACTAAATAAGCTAAAAAAAAAACAAACCAAAATCTATATGAAGATCCATTTCGAAATACTTTTTAATGAACAAAAAAATCCCAAAAAAAAAAAAATAAAACAAAAAAACTAGAATACTTAAAATAAACACTTTAAATTATTAGTTAAATTAATTGTTATGGTTATTATTACTACTATTCTTCATAAATTAATTCAAAAATACAAAAAAATAATAATAAAACACTTGTATTTAAAACCAAAAGAAGAAGAAGAAGAAAAGAAACGAATTCAAATTATATACTTAAAAAAAATGCAAAACCAACAAACAAACAATTGAGAAAAGTAAGTAAAATGCAAAAATGAAAAAAACAAGAATGAATTCTGAAATCCCCAAAAAATAATAATAACTACATAAAATTAGGTGTAATTATATTTATTTAAATAAATTAGTTTCATTAAATAAATTATGAAAAAATACCAAAAAAAAAAAAATGAAATAAAAATAAAAAAGAAATGAAAAAATTTACACAAAAAATAATTGAAAAAAATTAAATATAATGAAGTTTTATTTTGGCTTGGGTAAAAGGGAAACAATTGAAAGCATCTCAAGTAGAGAGTTGTGTCTAGTTTGGAGTCTAGTCTATAGTCTAGGACAAAGTCAACAACAGAATAGTTCTGTTTATAGTATTTTGTCTAGTTTAAAATCTTTTCGATTGACTAGACAGTCTATAGCCTGGTCTATAGTCTACCTCATAGTCTAGTCTATAGCCCAGTCGTTATTGTATTCTGTTAAAAAGACTTGATGCAAATATTTAATCGCTTTTTCTCTGTGTATACCTTTCCACGCTCATAAGGAAACTTCCGTAAAATAAACAAGTAAGAAAGTATAGTCGGGCGTGGCCGACCATATGATACCCTACACCAGTTATGAATATTAAATGTGATTTATTTTTCATAATAAAACATTTATCATCAATATTCCCTTGTTCCGATACATTTAAGCAATTCATTGATGAAAAACTAATTTTCTGAAAGAGGCTTTATATGGGGGCTAGGGGCAAATATGGACCAAGCCCGATAAAATTTTGCGAATATATTTATATTTACATAATATTTTATTGTGGTGAATTTCATCGGGATATTTGTGTTTATAAGTTAATTTGGGACATTCAAGTAATTTTCTGAAGGGGACTTTGTATGGGAGCTAGGGTCAAATGGGGCCCGATCTTTATGAAATTTGGCAGGATTATCAAGACTTCTATAAAACTTAGTTGTGCCATAATTTATCGATATATCTGTATTTTTAACATAATTATGAGCTCAGAAGCCCTTTTCGGGGGGTTCTGTTCTATGGGGGCTAGGTGAAATAATGGACCGATTTTAACCATTTTCAATAGGCTTCGTCCGTGCGTGCCAAATTTCATCCAATTATCTTGAAAATTGCGACCTGTAGCTTGCGCACAAGGTTTACATGGACAGCCAGCCAGCCAGCCAGCCAGCCAGACGGACGGACGGACGGACGGACATGGCTTAATCGACTCAGAAAACGATTCTAAGCCGATTGGTATACTTTAAGGTGGGTCTAGGACGAATATTTTTATATGTTACAAACATCAGCACAAATCCAATATACCCTCCCCACTAAAGTGGTGTAGGGTATAAAAACCAAAAGAATTCATTTTAATAATATTCTTTATAAAAATATTTTATTCTTATTTTAATAGAAACACACTGCCACCAACCCATTTTAAAAATGCTTAAAGAAAATATTGCAAAATTTGTAAAATAAATAAAAAAAAACGCATCAAAAACTTAAAAACTAAAATTAAATGCAAAATTTTATCCCAATGAGAAAAATGACAATCTAAACGCCATTTCCACCATATTTTGTGGGATGTCAGGACGATGACATATATAAACCTCTTTGGGTGGTGATAGAAATAAACGTCCCACAGCCACAAAAGAGAAATGTTTACCTTCAGAAGATTTAGCATCACGTACACGTATTGTCATGCCATGTTCCTTAACCACTACTAAATCTTTGCCGGTTATTTGACGGCTGGCATCAGCACGTTTAGAGTGCTTAGCCTTTTGCAGCACCTGATGTATAGTATGAAAAGCCATGTACATTTCCGAGGTAAAGGGGAATGTTTCTTTACTGGATTTTAAGGGACAAAACACTGAATTATTAGTGCCATCCACATAGACATAATAGAAAATGTTGTTTTTCCAACCAGCAGAGATCTTAACAGGCACCACATTGCTTATCTCCTTCCACAACGACTCCGTGACTTGAGTCTGCAGTTGGACATCGGTGCCGCTGCAGTGTAATAGATTCTCTTCCATGAAATTTTCCCAATCCGAACCGCTATCATCGCTGGCCTCATTGTTGGCGCTGGTAATAAGACGTTTTTTACTTGAGTCATCTTCACTAGGCGTTAGACTGTGTACTGAGGAACCGCCCAATGAAGAACCAGGTTGATTGTCTTCATCATAGGAAATGCTGCGTGTGTAGTTGTTACTATTGGAGTGTGATTCCTTTGCATTGCCCGTCTGACTCGAGGAGACATGTAATTTCTGTTTGATTAATGTCGCCGTGTCAGTTTTTTTCACTTCTTTTGTTTGTGCCTCCTCCTCCATTATAGAGGCTTCTAGTATCTCCGGTCTTTTATTAGAAACCGACCAAAACATGGCCAAAGACTCGATGCCACACTGCACTAAATGATCCAAAGTTTCCTGTATCTCTTCTATATAGAATAAAGAGGGAACCACCTTTTCTTTTTCCTCCGTATCAGGGGTGGTGAATATTTTTAGAATTACCGCCAAAATCAAATGACCACGTCCACAAATGGCCAAAAAATAACGCCCTTGACTATCGGGTAATAATATTTCTTCCCATACGTACAACTCTTTCGTACTATGTTTGCTAACGAAATCAAATATGCCACGACATCTCATAAATACCTCGATATGATGGCGCATATCCAAAGGCATTTGGGAAGCCAGCATAAATTGATCATAGTACAGGACACTGCCATAGATGAAAAACTCCCTGTGTGTATGTAAGGGTTCATCATTCCAATTGCGATAGTCCATAGCTTCCATTTCACTTAAGGCATCAAAAATACGCAGTTGAGCCTCTTTGGGAAGAGGCAAATGACGTGATTCTTTTAAAACATCCTCTAAAGGTGTAACAAATCCCTTCTTCTCCACCTTAAGCAGTAAACGTACTTTTTGTATTTCACAGAAGTTTAGCATGAATTGTCTAAAATCCAGATTTTTAAAACTATCCAGATTCATGTGTGGAAACATTAATTTTATATAAGACAATAATTCGTCGGCTCTTAAATTACCCTCAGATAGATTAACCATATTACAGGGATAAGAGAATAGAACCAGGAAACCATTCAAATTGCGGTAATACACAAAATATTGTACGTTATCAAAAGCCAATTTGGAAGCGGAGGGCTTGGTCTTCATTTCTTCTGTGAGTACTGCATTCAAAGTTAAAAAACTGCCTCGAGCTTTGTATAGAAAATTGTTCAAAGGATCCTCGGGATAAAAATACAAAGAATTTTTATGTTCATCATTTTGATAACATTCTGGTGGCAAAATTAACAAACCAAAATTCATGCCTGCTTCCGTAGACTGGGAAGTTTGTGGTTGATCGTTAAGATTTTGTAATTTTTCAAACATTTCCGAAAATTTCTTAAAATTTTCTATTTTCTTTACCTCATTGGAGGACTCGGCACCACCATTGTTATTATCCGCATTTTGCTCGGTTTTAAGAGGTCCTTGAAATTTCAAACATACCTTAGTAGGTTCCACAAATTGCAACAGCAAGTCATCAATGTTACTAGCTCTTATCTCTATGTCATCCAAAGTTTTAAACCAGTCACCCCTCGAAACTGGCTTAAGATTGCCTTGTTGAAATAAAGCGGGCATATCGTGTACAAAACTATCCACCATTAGGCACTCGGGTTGATCGGCAAAGGGCACAACATGAAAACCCAAAATAGACTCAACAGCCGTTGATCTTCGGCCAAAACGAAAACGATCTGCTGCAGTTATAACCAATTCCAAGCATTTGCTAGCCTCCTCAGTTGTGGCAATATTGGCAAACAAAAAAGGGTTTTTATTTTTTTCCTCTTCAGTTGTTACTGTAGTCTTAAGGCCCGTTTGTTGTCTCCGGGAAGATTTTTTAGCCATTCTTAAAGAGTTTCTCATAAATTCCACTTTACCCTCTGTTTGCATTTTGCTCAAATCTTTGGGCATATACTCCACATAGAACAAAGAGCCATCTTCAGCCACAAACTCTTCCCAATTAGCCATATCACTGCCATCTGAGTAGGAATCATCTGCACTGCCAGAATCACTTTCCGAAGAATAACTCTCACTGCCTACATCCACATTAATGCAAGTGCTATTATCTTTAATAGTTTGATATTCTTGCGAGCGACGCATTTTTTCCTTGGTTATGTGGCAAGAATACAAAAAAAAATAAACTGTGCGCCTGCGTGCAACAAATTAATAAAAACAGAGTTGTTTTTCAAAAAATTAATTAAATTTTCTCCGAGTGTAATTTAATGTTATGATCTGCTTCTTATTAGTTCCATATGTTTTTAAGGCATTCACTAATATTGACTATTGCACAATATAAAACACTTCACAACACTACATTACAACAGCTGAGATAAAGAGAATTTATTAAAGCTGCCGTCAGTACAACAGCTATCGATGAAATGTGAACGATAAAATGTCATAATACACATATAAAAAATATATAACTTAATCTCGAAATGTCAATCTCTACTAAGAAATAAAAATAAATTGAACTCTGTTTGTATCTTATTATATCCGCCTTGTGTTGTGTTTTTTGTTTTCAATTTCGATGGATGAAAAGTCAGGTGACTCGAAAAACATGTCGCCCCATAACAATCATGATCCTTCCGAGAATTCCAATCAAAATGTTGATGAAGCCGATCTGCAAGGTATGGAATCACATAATCTAATACAATTAAATGTAAAAACTCTACATGCTGTTTGCTTTTAGAAATGGCTGCTGTCAATGACAGCCTTGATGAGCTGAGCACTGTATTGGATTTCTTCGAACAGCGCACTGATAACATTATCGAACAGTTAAAAGAGCTGCTGCACTCTAATCGTGAGATACGTCAAGAATTGGCTTTGGAAAATGCCGCCAACGCAGTGGAAAATTTAGATTTAGAAAAGCCAGAAAACTAAAAATTGCTTTAATTTCTTAAGCTCTTTTTGTTTTGTTTATCAAACTTATTTCACAAGTATTACAAATTGGGTGATTTATGTTTTATTCTTAGACGTCGAAATAAAGTACAATAATTCAAAGAAACGTATTACAAACTTATATTAATCCACTAAAGCCATACAGCTTTTACTTTTTCATTCTTAATAGCTGTTTACTGGACACCTCAAACAGGCGTTTATTAACACGTCTTAGTTTTTGTACCTCTTGACGCAATGCTTCTAATTCTTCACTATTTTCTGCGGCCGTGTTGTTTGTTACTGCGGGCAGCATATTACTACAAGAGGAACTATAATCCAAGTGTCTGTTGGCATACTTGTATTCATCACTTTCATACTCATCTTCATAGCTGTTGCTAACCATTACCTCTATGGCCTGCTCTTCATCTTGTTCAATTGGGTCTAACATACGTTTAAGATTTGAACAGAAAACTTGCGGTTGTTTATGTTCCGGATGGAAAACTACTGGATTTGTTAATCTTATTTTGAGATTTGTTATGGGTCCTTTGAATTGCATAGTTTTAACCAATTGACGACTTGGTATATTCCATACCAATACTTGGTTATCACTAGCACCGGAGACTAAAGTTTGGCCGTCTAAAGATAAGGCTAAACAATTGACGCAACTACCTTTTGTATGTCCAAGAAAAGATTTTGGTTGCTCCTCAACGTGGTATTCCTGAAAAGAAGAACAAATTAAGTTTTGAAATTTGATAAATATTTAAAGTTAAGATAATCTATTAGAAATTAATTATTCGTATTTACTTCCCATAGATTAGAGAAGTTATTGAAAGATAACTTTTCTACAGATTAGACAAAATATGGAAAAGTAAAATTATCGATAATACTTTCATAATCGATAACTTTTCTATAGTAAAGTCGAATTATCGATAACTTTTCTATAGTAAAGTCGAATTATCGATAACTTTTTTATAGTAAAGTCGAATTATCGATAACTTTTCTATAGAAATGCCAAATTATAGATAACTTTTCTATAGAAAAGCCAAGTTATCGATTACTTTTCTATTGAAAAGTTAGGCTATCGGTAACTTTTCTATTGAAATGTCAAGTTATCGATAACTTTTCTATAGAAAAGCCAAGTTGTCGATTACTTGAAAAGTCAAGTTATCGATAACTTTTCTATAGAAAATCCAAGTTATCGATTACTTTTCTATTGAAAAGTCAAGCTATTGGTAATTGTTTCTATTGAAAAGCCAAGTTATCGATAACTTTTCTTTAGAAAAGCCAAGTTATCGATTACTTTTCAATAGAAATGTCAAGTTACCACTAACTTTTCTATAGAAAAGTGAAGTTATCGATAACTTTTCTATAGAAAAGTCAAGTTATCGATAACTTTTCATTAGAAAAGTTGACTTTTATATGACTTTTCTATTGAAAAGTCAAATTATCGATAACTTTTCTATAGATAAGTGAAGTTATCGATAACTTTTCATTAGAAAAGTCAAGTCATCGATAACTTTTCTATAGAAAAGTTATAACTTTTCTTTAGACTATAGCAATTCTCACATTTTTTAACTAACCTTAACTCTTGGAATATCATTAATATAAAACTGGAAAATATTCCCTGTATTGGTACCCACAAACACCAAAGTCTCCATGGCATTTGTTATAACGCTTTGCAAACCCTCGGCGAATACTACACTCAGCAACATTGTGCCGCTATTTAAATCATAAATTTTGCAAGAACGATCCAAAGAAACGGTGAACATATACGATCTAATGCCACCGGCACCAATATGAACATCCGTTACCGGCAGACCATGATCGTTAAAGGTATAAGTAGGCTCCGAACTACCATCGATATTACGACACAGAACCTGTGTTAGATTCCACACCAAGACAGCGCCATCTTTGCCGGCACTTACGAAATGAGAACCATCATCGGTGAATTTCAGACAAGTAACAGTTTGATAATGTTTGCCCAAACTGGCCATCATGCGTCCGGTGGACAATTGCCATATATAAATGGTCTCCTGTATACCAGCCACTATATAACAGCCATCAGGCGATAAAGCTAAGGCGGTCACTGCTCCCGGAACCACAAAACGTATGGCTGTCATTTGTTCCTGGTTATTAATCGGCCATACATGTAACAAAGGTTTTGTTAAATTAGCCGCCACTACATATTCGGAACGTAAAAGATTAAGGGAATGCATTGCGGCACCACCGCCACCACCTTTATAGTTCATTAGATTTGTACCCGTACGATAGTCCCATACTGAACAGCTTAATTGATGATCATTGGTATCACTTACAAATAAAACTTCTAAAATATTATTATCAGTCATGATTTTTGGAAGTTTTTCTCAATAATTTAATTTAAATTCTATACAAAATGAAAAGCAAATGCTAAATTTTAAATTTCGACGTCCGCACGTGTTATTGTTTTGATGCTTCTTCTTTAAGTTATATTCACTCAATGTGAATTATTAGCCAAGTAAACAAACGGGTATTTTTGGGAGATTAAGAAAATCACAAAAATATGATATTGTTCTTGAACAACTAAGAAAAATGATGTACCAGTTTAATTATAGTTGAAGGCATAACTTTTAATTTATATATTTGTTATTTAGTTTGTAATTAAAAGAATAATTTAACAAAAAGCTGAACAATAATATTCTAGTAAGAAGATTGGTAACCCTTTGCCAGAATATTGTTATCATTTTAAAGTGAATAGTTTGTTTTGACACGAAGTTTTTTATACTTCTTTACACATTGGTCAAAAAGGTAAACAATGACCACCATGGCTCCCAGTAAGGAAGAGGAAAACACGTTGTCTCTGCCACAAAAACGTTATTACAGACAGAGAGCCCACTCCAATCCCATAGCAGACCATTGTTTCGATTAGTAAGTAAAAAATCAATTACAAAATCAAATAATTTTATTTACTTTTGCCAAAATCTCTTATTTCTAGTCCCGCTCATCCTGCTGAAGTGGATTGGAAAGAATTGTACCCCGAGTATGATACCTATTCCCCAGCAAAATGTGTAGAATTTGCCGATATCGGTTGTGGTTATGGTGGTTTCCTTGTGACCTTAGGTGAAATGTTTCCCGATCGTCTGGCCATTGGTATGGAAATTCGTGTTAAAGTTTCCGACTATGTTATGGATCGTATTAAGGCTTTGAGATCATTAAATGTAGGAAAATATAATAATATAGCTTGTATACGTACAAATGCTATGAAATATTTACCGAATTATTTCGTTAAACATCAATTGGATAAAATGTTCTTTTTGTATCCCGATCCACATTTCAAGAAAGCCAAACATAAGTGGCGCATTATTAATCAGGCGTTATTATCGGAATATGCTTATGTTTTGAGAAAAGGGGTAAGGATTTTAAACTTTGTGTTATTTTATCTTTGAAATTTTTAATTTTATTACATTTTCCAGGGCCTTGTTTACACCATGACTGATGTTGAAGATTTACATAAATGGATTGTTAAACATATGGAGGAACATCCTTTATTTGAACGTATATCTCCCGAGGAAGAGGTTTGTTATGGATATAGTTTTTACGATTACTTTCAATTTGCTAACACTTTTATATGTTTTAAGACCAATGACCCAATTACCCCCAAACTTTATCAGAGCAGTGAAGAAGGTGCTAAAGTTGTTAGAAATAAAGGATCACATTTCTTGGCCATATTCCGAAGACTTTAATGTTAAGACTATAAAGAATGTACAATAAAGAATTTGTAGAAATATTAATAATGTTAGTCAAAGCTTTTTTTATCAGTCGGAATACTTGTCCGGTATTGCACATATCTTCCATATTATACATATGTACAATAAATGACTACAATTTACAATAGTAAAAACTCTCTAAAGGATTATTGTAAATATTTATAAATTTCTTTATTTGTTTATAGTGGTAGAAGAAATAGCTTAACATCAGACATACATGAAAAATGATCAAAATATAGTAAAATAACATAAATTGATTTAGAACAATTTACACTCCTCTTAAAAAAATCAACGCTTACGATGTCTAGAATCATGAGAATTATCACGATGAGAACCGCGATGCGATGAAGTATGACCACGATAATGTTTATTACTATTGGATGACGATGAATTATGATGATGATGCATGGGACGTTTGTCCTGATACTTGTCCTGGTATTTATCACGTCTATTATCCATATATTTGTCCGTATGGCGATCTCGAGAAGGTTTCCTAAAGAGAAATATAAAAAAATATAAATCGAAATAAAAAGAAACAGTATTTTATGGTTACCTTTTACGATGCTTGGAATGTGGTGAACTTGAGGGTGATCTCGAATAATGCCTGGATTTTTTCTTATTCTTAGAAGGAGGTGGTGTTCTTGATCTAGAACGTTCACGATCTCGTTCCCTTTCACGATCACGTCGTGATTTCTTATAACGATTGACAGAGTTAGAACGAGATCTAGATCTTGAACGAGATCTAGAGCGTGCCGTTCTCCTAGAATCTCTAGAACGGGATCTAGATCTAGAGCGGGAATCTTTACTAGGTGATTTCTCATTGGGCAATGGTAAGGGGATAGTACGCTGTATAAAACCACCCCAAGCATTATGAGAACCATTATTACGATCTACTGCTGTCACGGCCGGGGGAGTGTTGTTTTCCTTGGTCTTATTTCTTGATTCCATATAGCGTTTCTTAAGCTCCTCTACCGCTTCTTCTAATTTATCCACATTAGGTTTACCGCGAGTATACAATTCCATGACACGATAACAAATATCTATTATATCATCTTCGGGCACCTGGAATATACCATACCAGGGATGTGGTTGTGAAGGTAAAGGTATGGAAAGTTTACGAGCACTTAGATAAATACAAGCACAGGCTATTGTCTCAGGATTGTAGCGCATAAAAACATCGGTACGCAATGAATCATTCATAAAATTCCATGACATTTGCATCAGCTGCTCGTGTTTTTCATATTTTAGCACCTGCAGGTACATCACGATCAACTTATGGGGATGCTTGACATGTACACAAAAGCCCAACTCTTTAAGGACACGACGTTCTGCTTTAATGACTTGAGTTTTAAGGTTGGTATAGTATTGATCCAAAATCATAGCGGTGATTTCCCTACAAAAGATAAAGGTGGGAAGAAATTGATGTATGGACATTAAATACTTTAAATTAAATGCACAAACACCGAAAATATTGTTTAACTTGCAGATTGAATTTGGTGTCAAAGATTTAAATATGTACACTGTTATAGATATTTTTACATAATAAAGCAATATACGATATTTTATACAGAATCCATATGAATTTTAGTTACGACGCTTAATTACAGAGATTACAAATGATTCCTATTATTTAAGGGCAACAATTAAAGGTCGATACTCGATAAAAAGTTCACTGAAACTACTTTCTTTGTATTTTTAATAGGATGCTTATGTTAGAAATTATCTATCTATCTATCTATCTATCTATCTATCTATCTATCTATCTATCTATCTATCTATCTATCTATCTATCTATCTATCTATCTATCTATCTATCTATCTATCTATCTATCTATCTATCTATCTATCTATCTATCTATCTATCTATCTATCTATCTATCTATCTATCTATCTATCTATCTATCTATCTATCTATCTATCTATCTATCTATCTATCTATCTATCTATCTATCTATCTATCTATCTATCTATCTATCTATCTATCTATCTATCTATCTATCTATCTATCTATCTATCTATCTATCTATCTATCATGTATTCGACATAACCCGGACACCGACCGTGCCAAAAAGTCCTTTAAAATATCCACATTTTTGTGATTACTTAGTTTTTTTTACCAGGAAGAATGTTTTCAAATAGGTATCACACGAATTACTAAATTTGTTCTCCCATTTATTCACTTACGATTAGCAAACCACCCTGCCTGTCGTAAACAGAAAGGGAACAATAAATATTTTTAATTAATAAAATTACAAAAAATACACAACAAAATTTACTCACTTTTGTCCGCGCACCTGCTTGATGTGATGGAAAACGTTTATAACATCACGTATCCTACGTGGTGCCTCCTCAATCTTCGAGGCCAAGCAAACGCAACTCATGGCCACCGTTTCCATATTGTGCCTTACAAAACTCTTCGAATAGAAGAAACGCTGAAATATCACCTGGCCCGTGGCCATGGCAACTTGTGGCAGTTTCAGCAAAATACCTGCCGTCTGTATTAGCTCACATCCCAGTATACGTAAATCCTTTTCTGTCTCAGCATCCAAACCATCCAAATGTGAGGGTGTTTGATCCAATTTCGCTTCGGGTATCAAACTGTTTTCCAAAGTCAAAACGATTTTATTATAGAGACGCGGAAAAATGGGTTTGTTTTCCAATGTCGTAGTTGTTGTGCTGCTGCTGTTAGTGGTGGCATTGGTGGCATCATTTTTGGCAGAATTATTTAATAAATTTGCCATTTTTACTGATGCTACTAAGGAGGAATTGGCGAATTTTGTTGAATCTTCAATTACCACCATTTGTTCCAAGTTTTTTGTGTGTGTCAGTAGCAGAGCCCTGCGCCGACAAATATTAACGGCGGCGGCGACTGACACTGAATATGTTGGCGGCGGCTTAAAATCGACTGTAAGCCGGCTTAGTTTTCAACCACGTTTAGTTTTTAATTTTTAAACGATTTTAAATAAAAACGGAATCCGAGAGATCAGAAAGTAGGATTTTGGAAGCAAATATATTGTTTATAACAACAAAACAGAGCAAACTCAAAAGTTGCATGAGAAATTATGCAGGGATGAATAAAAAATTCTTAAAAATTAAAAACAAATCCTTTCTCCAAGTTTTACTAGGATCTGCCGATATTTAACCCTATCTTCCATATAAAACATCTTGCAGAAAATCAGTTTGTAAAAAATTTTGCATTAAGAAAATGATCAATGACGTAAAAACAAAGATATTTTATTTGTTTATTTACTAGCTATACCCAGTGTGCCGTGCTACCCTAAAAGCAATATAAATAAGAAACCTACTTAACAATTTTGATGATTCTAACTACAATGGTTTTCCAGATATACAATTTGTTACATATAGGAGATTCCACGCAAATTATTGCAATTTCGCCAATTATTCCGAACGTTAATTAAGATTTTAATTTAATCTATGAAAAATTTGAATAATCTAATAGTTTCCAGATATACACAATTATGTATTTAAGTGCCAAGCCCCCCCATTGAAAGTCCGCCCGTTATTCTCTAAATGTTCTTCAGTAAAATTTGAAGATTCTAGCTCTAATAGTTTCTCAGATATACGAATTTTTCTATTTAATTCATATGGGAGCTCCAAGCCCCCCAGATGAAAGTCCGCCCTTTTTTCTCCAAAATGTTCAGATGAATATTAAAGTTGTTCGTGCAAAATTTGAAGAATTTAGTTATATTAGTTTCCCAGATAAACGAATT